GCAGAAGACGCTAAGAAGGTAAGCAGAGATTTTAATGATCTTGCTATCTTTTAATATCAGAGGGCTAGGAAGGATGGGAAAAAAAAAAGGAAAGTAAGAGATTTAGTAAAAAAAGAGGGAGTAGATTTCTTAGCTATTCTGCACTTCCTATTTTTTATATGTCTCTATATTCATTGCCTAAATCTGTGCTTGTGGAGTTGACTAGAATCCAAAGGAGTTTCTTATGGGGCGGGGCAGAATTAAATAAGAAAATCTCTTGGGTTAAATGGGAACATGTATGTCAAGCGAAGGCTAAGGGGGGTCTTGGGGTGCCTGATTTACAAAGAAAAAACTGGGCAATGTTAGGAAAATTGTGGTATAGGTTAGGTGACGGGGTAGAGAGCTTATGGAAAAGGGTGGTGAGGGAGAAATATTATGGAGGTAGGAGGGAGGTCGATATTACTTCGGTAGAGCGATTCAAGGTGTCAAAGATTTGGAGGGACATTATTAGGATAGGGGGCCTCTCCCGCAATCTTAGAAATATGTTGGTTGAGGGTTTCAAGTGGGAAGTGGGAAAAGGTAATAAAGTGGGTTTTTGGTCTGAAAGGTGGATGGGCGTAAAAAGCCTTAGAGATTTATTTCCAAGGTTATTTGCATTATCTGTAAAGAAAGAAGGAAAGGTTTCCGAAATGGGGTATTGGGAAGAGAGGAAATGGAGTTGGCGGCTAGAGTGGAGGAGGGGTACATTAGGGCGAGAGAAAGATGAGGAGGAGATGTTGGAGAAAATGCTGGAGGGTGTCAATCTAAAGGAGGGGGCAGGGGATGTTTGGAAGTGGGTTCATGGGTTGGATGGCAAATATGGGGTAAAACTAGCGTATGATTTCTTAGCTTCTTCGGAGACTGTTTTGGAGAACCAGTTATGCAAATTAATAGGGTGCAGATTGGTGCCATCCAAAGTGGCGTTTTTTGGGTGGCGATTGTGCTTAGATAGACTCCCAACAAAGGAAAACTTGCAAAAACGTGGGATATTGCTTCACGAGGGGGTTATTTGTGAATTTTGTAATGAGAAGGAGGAGAAAGTTAACCACTTATTTTGTTTATGTTATAATGCATGGTTAGCTTGGTCTCAGGTGTTGAGTTGGTGGGGATTGAAGTCTGTTTTGCCTAACACAGTAGGGGGCATGGCAGAGTTCTTCATTGGTAGTTTGGGAAGCATAATTGGAAAGGAGATGGGTTCTTGTATTTTCCTAGTGGTTGCTTGGTATTTATGGTATAGACGGAATGCCCAAGTGTTTCGAAAAGATGAAGGTTTACCAGAAAACCTACTGGAAAGGATGCAAGTTAAAACATTTATATGGATAAAATCCAAAGTCAAAGGCTGTGTTTTTTCTTTTTACGAATGGCAATCATGTCCAATGGAGTGTGCTCTGGCTGTCAAAAATCATAAAAGGCTGAGGAAGCAGTTCTATAAAGATCGCGTACCCTCTAGTGGTTAGATAGGCGGGGTTGGTTTGTCTCCAATAGTGGAGCATTTGAGAACCTGACGCTTTATGCTTGTGATTTGTAAGCTTTGTCCATTTTTGATATTTTGGACACCAGTTCTCTACTGCTGTGGGTTCCTTTTTGTATATGGGCAGAAGCACCCCTTGTGCTTCATTAAATTAAATTTCTTTCTCTTTGGCTGATCAAAAAAAAAAGATTTCTTAGCTATTCAAGAGTCGAAAATGGAGGTGATAGATAGAAGAACTTGTAGAAGGTTATGGGGGTCCGATGACTTTGACTGGATTTATAAACCATCAGAAGGCTTGTATGGAGGATTGCTATGTATTTGGAATCTAACTGTGTTTAAAAAGACAGAAGTGATTGAGGGGGAAACACTTCACGGGGGTGTTTGGGTTGTGGGGGGAGGACCAGACGCCTATTCACATCCTTAATATATACTCTCCATGCCATCTAGAAGGAAAAAGAGTGCTATGGGAGGAGCTGGGCAAGCTGATCACTAGTAAAAGAGGCAATTGGATTTTGGGGGAGGATTTCAATGCAGCAAGAACAGTAGGGGATAGAGCAAGATGCAGTGGGATAACCAGGGAAATGAGGGAGTTTGATAGCTTTATCCATGTCACAGGGCTGGTTGATCTTCCATTGGCGGGTAGAAAATATACCTGGCACAGTGCAAATGGACAGCATAGGAGCAGGATAGATAGGTTTTTGGTTTCGAAAGAATGCCTGCAAAAGTGGAATGACTTTAAACAGTGGGGATTGGGGAGATCAGTTTCCGATCATTGTCCATTACTCTTGAAAAATGAAAAGATAGATTGGGGTCCAAAACCTTTTAAGTTTTTTGATGCCTGGTTGGAACATCCTGATTGCAAGGAAGTAATTAGCAAAGTGTGGAAATCTGTAGAGGTAAGGGGGTGGAAGGGGTTCAGACTTAAGGAAAAGCTGAGAGAAACAAAAAAAAGCCCTGAAGAAATGGAGTGCTAATCACACAGCTGAAGTTGACAGAAGAATAAGTGAAGCAGAAAGGATCATAGCTGAAATGGATGAAAAAGAAGAGCACAGCCAACTCTCAGAAGTAGACATTGAAAAAAGAAGGAATGGATTCCTGGATCTTTGGAAGAACATGAAGATTCAAGAGAGCATGTGGCAGCAAAAATCCAGAAAGATGTGGCTGAAAGAGGGGGATGCAAACTCAAAGTTTTTTCATAGAAGTGTGAAGGGCAGATGGAGGAGAAATGAAATCAACAGCATTCAGATTATGGGAGATCAATGTAGAGGTGTGAATGAGATCAAGGAAGGTGTGATGAATTATTTCAAGGGATTATTCTCGGAAGAAGAGTGGCAGCGACCAAAGCTAGACGGCATCAGCTTCAAACAGATAGACAAAGCAGACAATGATTTTTTTATGGCCACTTTCTCAGAAGAGGATATTAAGAACACAGTGTGGGATTGTGACTCAACTAAGTCCCTTGGGCCGGATGGCTTCAATTTCAGGTTTATAAAGGAAATGTGGGAGGAAATAAAACAGGATGTCATTGGCTTCGTGCAGGAATTCCACGAGCATGGCAAGCTGGTTAGAGGCTCCAACTCCTCCTTCATCGCCCTGATCCTTAAGGTTGAAAACCCCTATAGAATCAAAGACTACAGACCTATATCACTCATTGGAGTCATGTATAAGATACTAGCTAAGCTGCTAGCAAATCGCCTCAGGAAAGTTCTAGACAAGATCATCGGGGAGCAGTAAATGGCATTCATAGAAGGTAGACAGTTGATGGATAGAGTGGTGATTGCAAACGAGGTGATCGATGAGGCAAAAAGGAAGAGGAAGAAGAGTTTTCTTTTCAAAGTTGATTTCGAAAAAGCATACGACAAAGTTAGCTGGGATTTTATTTATTATATGCTAATGAGGACGGGTTTTACAGTCACTTGGAGAAATTGGATAAAGGAATGCCTACAATCGAGTATGATCTCGATCCTAGTGAACGAAAGCCCAACACAGCAATTCCCGATTAGCAAAGGAATTAGACAAGGCGACCCGCTCTCCCCATTCCTATTTCTATTAGTAGCAGAATGGCTTAATGGATCAATGTAGTCTGCCAATGAGAAAAACATATACATAGGAGTAAGGATTGGAAACGGGAACCTGTTAGTATCTCACCTCCAATTCGCAGATGACACTCTGTTTTTTGGAGAGGCTTCGGAAGAAAACATTCAAGCAATAAAAAGTATCATGAGGACCTTCGAATTGGTGTCGGGACTGAAAATCAACTTGGCAAGAGTCAGATAATGGGGGTCGGGACTGAGGAGGGTTGGAAAGAGAGGATGGCTTATAGACTGTGTTGTAAGGCGGGAGATCTTCCTTTTAAGTATTTGGGAACTCCAGTTGTAGGGAATCATAGAAGGATAGCAATGTGGCAACCACTGGTGAACTCCTTTAAAAAAAAATTGCTAGATGGAAAAGGCTAAACTTATCTTTGGGAGGCCGAATCACTCCCTTAAATTCTGTGTTGTCTAGCCTTCCCGTGTACCTGATGTCAGCCTACAAAATCCCTAAAGGTATTCTCTTCACTTTAGATAAAATTCATAAGAATTTTTTATGGGGAGGGATGGGGGAGAGGAAAAAAATCGGTTGGGTCAAGTGGGAGAGGGTATGCAGGAAAAAGGAGTGTGGAGGTCTAGGAGTGAAGGACTTGAGGAAATTCAATATGGCGTTGTTGGGTAAATGGTGGGGGAGGTTAGCAAAAGGGGAAGATGGGCTATGGAGCAAAGTGATGTCTAGTAAGTATGGGGAGAATGGAGGGCATTGGTTGGATTGGGTAAGGGATAGGAGTGGAGGAGGTTCAATATGGTGGAGAGACATCCAAAATTTAAATGCTGGAGATGGGGTGAATGCAGGATGGCTTTACGGAGGGTTTTAGGATTAAGGTCGGTGAGGGGAAAAGAGTGAGCTTCTGGTGGGATGAGTGGTGTGGGGAGAGCTACTTGGCTAATAAATTTCCTAGATTGTACATCTTGTGTACAGGTAAAGACGAAGAATGCTTTCAAATGGGAAGGGCTCTCAATGGGACATGGAGATGGAACTTGACATGGAGAAGAACCTTGCATCAGTGGGAAGATGAGACTGCAAAAGAACTTCAAAACATGATCGAGAAAGTGAGAATATCCCCAGGAAGCGCAGACAATTGGGAGTGGATACACAGCCCCGACGGAGAGTACTCAACAGCAACAGCCTACGCACTTCTAACAAATCAGAGGAGGGAAGAGGAGGAAGCAGAAATATATAAAAGAATATGGAATCCTAACATTCCATCTAAAGTAGCGGCTTTCAACTGGAAGGTATTACTTGATAGAATCCCAACCAAGCTAAATTTGTTGAAACGTGGGGTCATCAAGGAAGAGGAGGAAAGGAAATGTGTTCTGTGTGAAGAGGAAAAGGAAGACTCTAGCCACCTATTCTTAAATTGCAAAATAGTCAAATGGCTATGGAGAGCTTGCGCAAACTGGTGGGGCATCGAGGTAGGACTACAAAATGAATGCAAGAAGACGTTTCAACTCTTTGGCGCCTGGACCAAAAAGTCCCACAAAAGAGAAGGGTGGGACTGTATTTGGAACGCAGTTATATGGATAGTGTGGATGGCACGAAACAGAAAGATCTTTGACAATGTAGAGGTAAACCTGATCAAACTTTTTGAACTTATTCAATTAAGATCATTTACATGGATTAAAGTTAGGAAAGGCAAGTGTTATTTCAATTTATCAGACTGGTTAATTAACCCTACCTCATGCCTTACTAGTGTGAAGTAGGAGGGGTTTGAAAGATGGTAGTAACACTAATAGTGCTTATTTCTGTAAACTGTGGGGATTAGTTGATGTTCATGTAAAAGGGCTTGAGTACCCCTTGTACTCAGGATAGTAATGAAACTTTTGCTGTTCAAAAAAAAAAAATGTTAAATGTGAGGGAGTAATTTAAAAATCATGTAAATGTAATCTTTTTTATTAAAAATTTATTTATAATATTATATATATTTATTTATCTAATCATAAATTAAAATTATAAATTTACCATTGACATTGTAAATATATTATTGTAACGTTCACCGTGGGTACATGGAGTTGGATCCGTACATGGCAATTCCTTATTCCACAGGACCATTATGACCTCTTATGGTAAGACTTCTGAAGGGAGGAAGAGGGTACAAATTCATTAAGATTCTCTGTTTACCAATCCGTTCTCATCTAAATTGTGCTATATCGCATTTCCTTGTTGTGATCTATTAGTGGTCATTGTATCTCAATAGGGTTATCAGTGGACTACACTTTTAATCAGTAATCAAATCTTATCAAGGGTAATGTACTAATTTAATTGCTAACTTCTAACTTTTAATCATTACCCCTGTCAAAAAAAAAAAATTTGTGCTATCTCCATTTTTAAGACAAATTTTGGTAAAAATTTGACATATAGCATATGTATATAAATGATGATTCAATTTTTTAATTCAAATTAAACTAAAAACCAATTATATACTCCTAAAAAAATTCAAATTCACATTCATTTCTTATGTTGAATTTTCACTTAAATCTTTTGTTTTAAAAATTAACAATTAAATCATAATAAATATGAATTAAAAAGTTAAATTGAAATTATCACTATTAAATTGAGGGTTAAATTTAAAGATAGTGGTTGTACATGTACATTTCAATATTCAATGCATTATATAACACATTTATTAAAAATTATTTTTTTATATAAATTTAAAAATAGACAAACTTAAAAATCTAATCATATATACATGATACATG